TCTAATATTTTGTTATTCCACTACAAACCAAATTTGATTATTTTGGGATGTAATTGTCATAGTCTGGCATATTCTTTTGGATATTATGGTCATGGTTTGGCATATTCTTTTGGGAAGATGTTGTAGATATTGTATATGATAAATGAAATTTTCTTATTTTATGGATTTTATTAGTTACTCTCATGATGTAAATAGTATTTAGATAGTAATGTCGTTCAAGGTGATTTTTGGGGCGTTACAACCATAGATTTGAGTAAAGCCCTTAACAACAAGGCAGGCTTTGAGGCATTCAACAGAACTATTTGGATTAAATTTAACGATATACACCCACTAACAATCAACAGTCCTTTTACTAGACGATAAGGGAATAAGATCTCAAGTACCATTCTGATGTAAGGCATTCATCTCCACTTTCATAGCTTTCCTCTAACCCGAACTAGATAATGCTCCCCATAAGGTATTAGGAATAGAAATAGTAGACAGTTGAGAGATAAAGCAAGAGAAGACAAGAGACAAGGCATTATAAGACACAAAATTGGTAATGGGATGGTTAGTAACAGAAGATCGAGTACCTTTCTAAAGAATAATAGGTAAAGAGTTAGAAGTATTTAAGGAACTAGGATCAGGATACAACAAGGAATATGGTAGGGTCACCTCAATTGATGATTGTAGACAACGGGAGTATACATAGAGTGGGGTAGATATGGAAGTAGGTGGTAGTATAGTAGGCAGCGAAATAGTGGGGGTGGAGTTGACACCCCAAAGTCAAGATCCAAAGGTGGCGTAGGAGTTGGAAAATACGAAACTAATTCAGTAACTGTGACATCAGCGCTAGTGAAATACCAGCGAAGTGTGGCACTATAGCAACGATACTCCTTCTACAAGGAAGACACATTTGGTAGCACGAGAGTCAAGTATATCAAACCTACAAACCAAGTTGTGAACATAATAGACACACCCAAAAACTTTAGGAGTTAGGGAAAATAATGGAGTATTGGGAAAAATGAAAAAATATGGACTTTGCCCATTTAACATAGAAGATGGCATATAGTTAATAAGGTGGCAAACAATAAGAACAACATTACATCAAAATCATAGAGGAACATTCATCTAGAATAATAGTGCGCAAGTAACTTCCAATAGATGACGATTCTTACACTCAGTGACATCATTCTGTTAAGATGTGTAGGCACAAGTAGTTTGATGAAAAATTCCAATTTTACAAAGATAAGAAGAAAATGATTACACTCATATTCACGAGCATTATCAGAACGTAAAATACGAATATGACAACCATATTGGGTTTTGATTTCTCTATAAAAGGTCTCAAATATATAAAATAATTCAAAACGAGTTTCATAAGAAATAACCAAGTCACATGGGAATAATCATTCACAAATAACACAAAATAAGAAAATTTATTAGATAAAATATTCTTTATTGGACCTCATACATCATAATGTACTAAATCAAATAACTAAACCCACAGTTATTGACTCTAGACTAAAAGGGCACATGGTGATGCTTACTAAGTTGACAAGCTTCACAAGATGCTGACAACACATAACTAAGGTAGGAACTTGATGCTTTAAATTCTGGAGAAAGTGATGAAAAATATAACAATGCCACTAAAGGGAGATGGGGAGGTTTGAAGTGCCTAAGGAAGTGGATCAAGGTCAAAGTAATAGAGACCACCAGCTTCTAGCCCCGTCCCAATCTTTTTCTTCGTTTGGAGATCCTTAAACACACAATAAGAGAGATAAAAGGTTACTTAACAAAAGGGAGCGAGAAATCTTACTAATAGAAAGTAAACTAAAGAGAAACTGAGGGACATATAAAATAGATGATAAGAACATATCAGGACTCAATTGAGTAGTCCTCAAACCAAAAACTTTAGAGGAAGTACCATTAACAAGAGTGACATTGTATAGGGAAGTAATAGAATGATAAGTAGAGAAGACACTAAACGAACTAGTCATGTGGTCAGAAACATAGAGGTCTATGATCAAGGGACTCTGGGTGGAGGATAATAAACAAGTAAAAATGATACTTGGCTAGGTAAAGTTAGCAGTGGAGGAAGATGAAACAACTTGCTTTCGAGATATGAATAGAGCATACTCCTCTCGTGTAATAGTAAGAAGGAATCGACCAAGATATGGGAATAGGTAGAGAGCAAGTGTCATCCTAATAGGAGACCTAATAAGTTACATCCAGAAAGTTTGTCATGTAAATCCCAACAACAAATAATAGTGTGCTTTGGAAAACCACAATAAGTGCATGAACGAGGACCAGTACGGCCTCCCTGACCTCCACGATTGTTGCGATTGCCACAGACACTCCGAGGACTATCACTATTGTCATAAGGGACAATAAGAGCTAAGAAGTCAGTGGACAAGCCGTGATTAATACCTAAAGTCGAAAGGCCAATAGAAGAGATAGCATGATATAAATGTAAGACCTTAAGAAGAGACAGAAGATTAGAGCCACTCAAAATCTGAGAGCCAATAGGCTCATACTCAGGTTTCATACCAATAAGAAAGTGAACAATATCCAAATCCTCATGTTGTCGGTACCGAACTATAGCATTAGTGGTGAATGGGTGGTAAATCTTCAATTCCTCAAAAAAGCCTCGAACTTGAGAGTAATAGTCTTCTAAACACAAAGTACCTTAGCCAAGGCAAAAATATTGTTTGCAGACCTCATAAACACGAGTAAAATTACTTGGGCCAAAATACATAGTTTCCAAATTTTCCCAAATCTCCTTTGTAGTATCAAGGTAAAGCAACGTAGAGATGATATAAGCCTCAATACTCTTCAACAATAAGAAATATTCAGTAGCCTTAAGTTTGGTTCCCACCAAATACTTTTTGAGGCCCTTTCCCTTAAGAAATATTTGAATTGAGCGAGACCATAAAACGTAATTAGTCCAATTAAGCTTGACAGAAATCATGGGACTATTAAGAAGAATCGTCGGGGATTGCATGGGTGGAAAGGTAGGAGCAGTGGCCAAATACAGAATGTTTGTCTTGGGGTCCATAGTACAAATCTATCAAATGGGAGTTGAACCCCTACTAAACTAGCTGAAATGGCAGTAAAGTAGGAATAGAGGCTAAACCAATGGGGATAGAGGTTGAATCGGTAGGAATATAGGTTGAACCAGCTGAAGAAGCACTAAATCAGTGAAAATAGAGGCCAGAACCTTCGAAAACCCACTCAACTGGCTAAAGTAGCAATGAACTGGTAGGAATATAGATTGAACCGGTCAGAACAAGGGTAAAAAATCCTCTAAACCAACTAAACTACTCTAAACTTTATGTAAAATCACCTTTGAACCGTCTGAAAATCATGGAATGGGATGGAAAGGTACAAAATAGGAGTGAACCATTTGAAAATTGACCTAAAACAGCATTAAACAAGTTAGAACTGAGCCTAAACCGATTGAACTGAGCCTAAACCGATTGAACTAAGCCTGAATCGGATTGAACCAATATGGACCACACATAGGAGGCTGGGCTTAAGTACCTAGGTTGGACTGGATCACTTGGGCTAGGCTTGAGTATTTGGATCCAAATTAGATTGTGTTGGTTGAAACAACTAGGCTGGACTTAAGTTGTTTTAAATAACCCGTAACTCTGGGTTAAAATAAAAAACCCAATGGGTCAACCCGAACTACACCCAAAACCTAGGCTTCATCTTCCTCACGTGGGGTTCAACAAGGACCTTAAAATCAACAACAAACAATGGCGGCGACACTCCATAGCCACCACTCCAGTCCTTTGGTAGTAACAATGATAGCCCTAGTCCTTGTCTTTTTTACATAGGGTTCAATAAAAAACCCTTGATCAACAAGAGACAATGACGAGACCCCACAGCCGTTACGCCCGACCTCCAACAACAAAAACGACAACCTCCTTACCACCAGTGACCACCACAAGCCAACAACGTCAAATTTAGTATGATAAACGAGTAGTCAACCCAATCATCCATATCCCAACACAAACACACCAACATATACAGACAACTTCACAGAGAAACATCAACATAATCACCACTGACCCACATTCTTAGACAATGGGCGTGAATTACACGGCACAAGACATAATCAAATTCGAGAAGGAAATAAGAGAAAAGAAAAAACAATATTGCTTAATTCAAATTTTCAATCTAAAATAAAAAAAATAAAATTCAAGATCAATCTTTGAATCAATATTATTTTGATACCATGTCAAGTTTAGAAAATAGAGACATGCTTAACACAATATGAGAGAGGCAGAGAATAGTTGAACTTAACCTACCTTTCACTAACAACAAGTATTTATAATTGTCTCATAAATATACAAAGGATGAGTATACCATTTAAATGATACACCTATTACAACCATATTAAATAGTAATAACATAATAATACTCTCAACACACTTTATATACAATGTACATACAATATATACAAAATGTACCATTTAATGACACTTTTTAAATGATTTTTAAGCAACAAATAAGTACATCAAAATAGTTGTAATTTTATAAAAACTATCCATTTGCATCTTATTTTAAACGATACATTTATATATGTGTATTTGTCATTACCATCCTTGCAATTGAGTTTAGAGAAATGTGTTGATCTTTGTCAAGAAAAATAAAAAAGAAATACAAAAACAAATGTTTTTTTTTTGGGAAGGTAATGTTCCGGAAAAAAAAACAAAAAAACAAAAATCAGATGTTGCAAGTTTTGCCAAGAAAATATAAAAAGGGTAATACAGTAATTGGACTATGCCCCTCTGGCAAGCGAAGAATCCCTCACCCAGGGAGGCTTTCTTTTGCCTTTTGTTAACTCCAAGAACACCCAATGTTTATTTTCAACCGTTAGCTACTATTTTTTTCTCTCTCTCTCCTAGGGTTTCTTGTTAGACACTGAAAGTCTTGCAATCACCAGAATTTTCACGCTCTCTAGACCTTATAGGTCAATTGTCTCAGTTCGAAGCGCAGCTTTCAAGTCAAAGATGGTAAAAATTAGTGCAATTTGGCAATTTTTCATTTCAGACCTCATTTTTCAATCCTTCCATTACTGATAGAAATAAAACTAACTCTTCATCTGGTGATTGTTGTTTTGAATTTTCAGGAAGGAGGTAATCTGGAGGCCCAAATAGAGGCGTTGTTGAATGTGGAGAAGCAGATGAGACTCAACGGCGATGTGGCCGGAACCAGGAAGGCAGTCACTGAAATTCTTCAACTGTGCTTCGAAGCTCGTGCTTGGAAAACCCTCAATGACCAGATTGTATTGTTATCCAAGCGACGTGGTCAATTGAAGCAGGTATATACGTCTATAAATACAATAGAGATGTGTTTATAGGTAAAGATTGCAAAATCAATTTGTTATACTTAGATTTCACAATTGTAAAATTAGTTGTTTTTGATTGATTTTGTTTCTCTTTTATGCTGTTAATTGCACATTGATGACATATTAAAGTACTGATGACATAGAGTTAGTTTCATGGATTGTGGTTGTGCTAGGATTGATGATTTGGTCATTAGGTTAGTAATTGTGGGGAATATGTAAGTTTACCTAATGGGTTTTGGTTCTTTGATACATTGATTATACGGTAATTCAAAGTTGGGAATAACTTGGTGGATTGGGAGAAAATTGGGTTTTAATATTCATTTTATAAAGAGATTGTGGTTAGTAACCTATTCTATTTCTGTAATGATAGTTTTCTGGGATGTGGTTTTGTTTGGGAATTATAATGTGGTTGCTTGATAAGTAATACGCATTTGATATGTATGCCCAATTAATGGCATGTAGTGGATTTATATTGTTGATGTTACCCGTTATGAAAAATTGTGCATTTTATGTGTTGATTGAGAGAAAATTGGGGTTTAAGATATTGTGTAAACAATTATGTTTATGTGCTTCTAGGCTCTCATATGTATAAATGTGTGCATTTTGTGTCTATGTATAAAACACTACCCGATTGTTTGTTACACCAAGAACTCATGACTACAAAAACCGAAATAGTTATTTGTAATAGATAATTTCTGTTCAGTAATTTTTGGAACAAGTCTAGAGTTCATTTGGTGGGATAGGCTGTTGTTGGGATTGATAATTTCTTGCTGGAGTAGTCAGATTAAGTATATCTTTTTATCGGTAGATGAGTGCACTAATTTGATTGTATTATGCTACCAGATTGCACAAATATATAAGTAACAATGTAGATTGGAAGAAAATTGGGTTCACCTTTATAAAAAGATTATAATGAGATGATGCCTGCATGTGTGTTTGCAATGAGGTGTTTTCTTACATATGTGTGAATTTTTGGATGCATCTATACATACAAGATATACATATGCAAATGTAGCAAGATTTGTGTATGGTTGGTGTATATGAACCAAAATATAAGTATGTGTGGGAGTATGGAGGGAGATAGTGCCTGGAGTAAGGAGTAAAAAGGTTGCTCAGTTTGGCTTTGTTCAGTTATAATGCTGTCCATTTTATATATTTTGTTGCTATTTGTTTTTTTACAAATGATTGTCATGTTTTCCTCTGCATTTGCATTATTCTTCTGTTTTGAATTGATTTTTGTCCTTTGTGCCTTCGTGACAATATATATTGGCTATTTTTTTAGTAATAAAATCTTGCTAATGTTCATGGGGTGGCTGTTATCATTCAGGCAGTAACTGCGATGGTCCAGCAAGCAATGCTATATATTGATGACACACCAGATCTTGAAACTAAGATAGAGCTCATTAAAACCCTTAACAGTGTATCTGCAGGGAAGGTGAACATGTATTAATCAATTGGAATATGTTCTTTGTTGCATTATCTGTATCGTGTTCACTATTTTTTTTTTTTTATATTTTTTCTCAATTGGCTCTGTTATTTTATAGATATATGTTGAGATTGAGAGGGCCCGTTTAGTCAAGAAACTTGCAAAGATTAAGGAAGGACAAGGGCTTATAGCTGAGGCTGCTGATTTGATGCAAGAAATTGCGGTCAGTTCGTTGAGTATTTGTTTTGACTTCTTTAGATCTTACTATTTTGGTGTAGTTATCCTGAAATTTTGTGTGGAGTTGTATTTCCCTCTTGTAGCACCTTTTTATGGTATTAATTTACAGGTGGAAACATTTGGTGCAATGGCAAAAACAGAAAAAATAGCTTTCATTCTTGAACAAGTATGGGTCCTTCTGTTCTCTTTTCAGTTAACCCAACTTAGAAATTAATAGCCAGGATGTTAGTTTGAAAATGTTATGCTATGAGATCTGAACTTCGCAGGTTCGTCTATGTTTAGACCGCCAAGATTACGTGCGTGCACAAATCCTCTCAAGAAAGATAAGTCCAAGAGTTTTTGACGCTGATACTAAAGAAAAGAAAAAACCCAAAGAGGGTGAAAATGTTGTAGAAGAGCCTCCAGCTGAGATACCATCGCTGTTGGGGTTGAAACGGATCTACTATGAATTAATGATAAGGTATGTGGGTATCATTATAGCTGGAGTGAACTTTCAAAAAAAGGAATCTCTGATGCCATATCTTTCATAATAAATTAGCGTCCTTTTGTGGATCAATCGTGCTCAAGTTTTTCGACTATTCTTTTCCTTTGAGGCCTATGTGTTGTGACTGATGTTTTTAATTACTGAGCTGCTTGTGACATTCAGTTGCAGAATGCCTAATTTGCCCTCAAGGCTTGAAGTTTTCTTGGGGAGAATCTCCATTTGTATCCACATTGTGTTTGGCAGCTTGAATTGAGGTCTTAGAATCATGATAGGAAAGACTACTGTGTAATTTGACTTATATTTATATATGTATATGTCATGAAGAAAAAGTAAAAACTAGGTAGATACATCTTCCCCAAGAATGATGTTAGGTACTTTAGTCCTGGTAACTTGCTAAGCCGCTAATGCTATAGCGTAATCATGAACCGCTAATGCTATAGCGTAATCATGAACATGCTTGGTGTGAACCTGCTTTAAAATGACTACTATCTAACTCTGGGAACTAGCCTAATATCATCCATGCAGACCATTCAGATGTATAGACATTTAAAGAGTTTCAAATGAAAGATTTTAATATGGCAGCCTTGTCCATAAATTATTGTTATACTTTGTCTATCCAAGACTTGTCAAATTCATTTGATGCATACCTGTGTAGATATCACTCACATAGCAATGACTACCTCGAAATGTGCCGTTGTTACAAGGCAATATATGAGACGCCCTCTGTCAAAGAAGACCCAGCTCAGTGGATACCGGTAAAAAACTCCTCAATTTATGCACATTTGAAATTATATACACATACACAAGGATGCCTTCCTCAATCCTGCTGAACTTCTCTGCGTCCTTTCATACAGGTGCTGAGGAAAATATGCTGGTACTTGGTTTTGTCACCACATGATCCTATGCAATCAAGCCTTCTAAACTCTACCTTGGAGGACAAGAATCTTTCTGATGTTCCTCATTTTAGGTTTGATTTTGCTTGTGCAATTTTTTAATTTTTTGTTTTTGGGATTTTGTTTGGAGGGATATTTTTAAACTTTGGCCATTATGTCATAGGCTGCTGTTAAAACAGTTAATTACTATGGAGGTCATTCAGTGGACAGTTTTGTGGAATAAATTCAAGGATGAGTTTGAAAATGAAAAGAACATGCTTGGTGGGCCTTTAGGTGACAAAGCAGGTGAAGATCTTAGAGAGAGAGTAATAGAACATGTAATGTTCATTTACACTAACTACTGATGCTGTTAATCATTTTTAACTTTTGAGTTAATTGGCAATCATTCATTCTTGAGACACCATTGTTTTGCAGAACATTCTTGTTGTCTCAAAGTATTATTCACGGATTACCTTGAATAGACTTGCAGATCTGCTGTGTCTCAGTGTGCAGGTTTGCTAATACATCATTTATATCATATTAGTCATTAATAGTATTGATCTATTTTTTAAGATTGTATTGTTTACTTACTTTTCTTAGTGAAAAGTACTCCTCAGGCTTTTAATATCATATTCATGGGTATTAGAGAATAATCATTTCTGCCCTTATATTCGGGATGGCTTCTATTTTCTATATTGATTTTTAGCATATTCCGCAAGAATGTTTCTTAGGCAAAAGAAACTATTTGGGAATTCTTGGTTTTATATCAAAGATCTATTCTAACAACCAGCTTGTAAAATTTAGTTTTGTGTATCTGTTGGTTAGAAATTCCTTGAGATCAACTTGTCCAAATTTTGAAGGCATAAGATTTGTTCTGTGACTATGGTCTTGGCGCATCAGTAAGGTTACTTTATTTGACAACTAGGTGTCACGGGTCCGAGTCGCAGAAACAGCCTCTCCGCATGATGGGTAAGATTGTGTGTATCTGACCCTCCGCAGATCTTGCAGTGGCAGGATGCAGGAGTCCCATGTGCTAGGCCACTCAAAAATTGTTGTGTTTTTTGTATTAGAGAAAAAGGGAGATCTTAACACGTAAAATGACTCGAGTGTTGATTCATTGTTCATACGAGTACAAAATTGGTGGTTTAGTTCCATATCGTTATCTGAAATTTTTTGAGTAGGGTGTTATATAATATCTTACACATTCAAAGCTGGTTTTGGTTTCATTGGAATCTAGACTGTAGTGAAAAGATGTGTACTCAGGCTTCTTTGATAAGAAAAAAGTTGTATTACCTGTCAATGTAGACTATTATTTCTTTGCAACTCATGAGGCTCACCTGTGTACCAAGGGCAAAGATATGTTAAAACATGAGACAATACATTCAGGTTATGTATATTTCTAGACTTCACACTGAGGGAGCATCCTTTAACCATCAAGGTTCAAAGTATCTGCCGAGTCCAAAACAACTCGCCCACCTCCCTTCCGATAACAATGCATGATATGCGAATAGCATGAAACTCATGTAAATCGGTCTTGACTCAGTTACGAATCAATGATATCGGCCCAAAATGGAGTCGAATTGATTGGCTCGGGTCTCGAGTTGGGCCTATTCAGACTGATACAACAAGATCTCAAACAAGCACAAAGAGAGCAACAAACATAGACCAAGATATGTCATCTATCAATTTTCAACCCTAAATTCATGACCTATATTCAAGGGAAGCAATAAATAACACTAAATCACACCCCTTTTGCAATTATAAATATAGCAGAAAATTGAAAGGATTTGCGAGAAAATATGTGAAATCAAATAGAGAAAACCCCTTCTTCTTCTTCTTCTTCTGTCACGCAGTGCAGAAGGGACATGCTGCCTCATCCTTTCTTACCAGGCAGCAACAAGTATCAAAGATCTTCTCTTGTCAATCGCTTTCAATCGATGCCGCCCCTCTCATATGGCTCTCTCTCTGAGTTAGTCTTAATGGTCTAAGACTCTGAACAATGAGACTGTCGATGGCACTCATCACCTATATAATGTATATGTAATCTACATCTACACTAAAATATCTTAAAAAAATTATACTCTCATACATAGATCAGAATTTTATTTTCTGTATTTTTAATTTTCGAAAATTTATAGATAAATTTTGAAACCAAATTACATTTAGATTCATATGATCCTTATGGTAAAAATTGCATGCCTAGTTTGGATAATTAGGTTAGAGACAATAACAGTGGTTATAAACAAAGTTATCAAATCGTGTATCGGAAGGCGTATCGTAAGATACAAATATTGTATCGTATCGTGTATCGTATCGTGTATCGTAAGATACGATGCAATTTTAAATAAATAATAAAAAAATATATATACCTTTGAAAAAAAGTCATACACTCATAAAAAATATAGCATTTCATTAATACTCCACCAACTATTCAAGTTATCAACATAATCCACTACTATTATAATGCAAAGTTCACAACCATAGTTCACTAATTCAAACTTTAAACACCAAAGAGACTTCTAATCCAAATTTCTAACATCCATTTTGAACTCAATCTTCAATTTTAATTGAAAATGCATCATCATCATCATCATTGTGATCGGATGCCAACAAGTCTTCACTTCCTTTATCATCTTCAACTTCTTGTATTTGTTCATCCTCATCCTCATCCTCATCCTCATCCTCATCCTCATCTTCAAGTTGAACTATTTGCTTTCCTTTTTTCTTGTATAAAGTAAGATTTCTAGGCCCTACAAAGCAACCAATACAAAATATAAAAAAAATAAATTCAAAGTAATGGAGAAGAAGAAAAAACAACCACTACATTTTAATTACCTCTCTTTCTCTTTTTGCTAGTCCCTTCTTGAACCTCAAAACATTCACCAACATTCATCCAAGTAGTGTCCTCAGGAAGGAGTGCATCTTCTTTTTCAGTGATCCACTCATCATCAGATTCCATATCTGAGAGAGAAATAGGATCATAGGAATCACCCTCTAGTATTCTCTTTTGGTGTCTTGCCTCCAATCGAAGATTGTACTTCACAAACACAAGTGCACTTAATCTTTGTTGCTCTAATCGATTTCTCCTCTTAGAGTGCACCTGGTCAAATGTACTCCAATTCCTCTCACATCCAGTGGCACTACAAGTCAAGCTAAGGACGCGGATAGCAAGTTGTTGCAACTCTGGACAACATCCTCCAAATGATTCCCACCACAAGGCTATAAAAAATTACAATAGAATACTCTATTAACTAACTTAAGCAGTTACATTCAAATAACTAACTTAAGTTAAGTTACCACTAACCAGGTTGTTTCTTCTTCCTCATTTGGATTGCCATGTCCATTCCAAACATCAAATCAGCATTATGAAAGATATCTAATTGTTTATCAACTTTTTCTCTCATAATAGGACTTGGGCACATTCTCTGAATAGTCTGATATAGTCCCATCTTTATCTCATAGTCCGCACTACCGGTGTAATGAAACCTGAAATAATTATTTTGATTTACAATGATCATTGATCAGCATACAATATATAGATATAAAATGATATAAAAATTGAGAAAATTAAGTCTTACGCGGGATTGAGATAATAGGCAGCTGCATGAAGAGGTCTGTGTAATTGCATGTTCCATCTAGTGTCAACAATAGTCCATATGGGCTCATAGTGCTTCTTCACATTACGAAAATTCTTTGGATTTGTTCCTTTGCCTTGTCCATTGCCTCATAAATATACCCCATGGCAGGCTTTAGATCCCCATCTACAAGCCTCAACACCTTCACCAATGGCAACACACACTTCAAGCAATACTTGATTGATCCCCAAAAATTTTGGTCAGCTAGTATAATATCCATCACTTTTACACCATCTCCCTTCTTACAATATTGACTTCTCTGCCATTCCTCAGAAGCAAACATTGCTCTAAGCCCAATTTTATTTTCAAATAAACTCCTTAAAGTTAAATATGAGGTGGCAAATCTGGTCACACAAGCTCTCACCAAATCCCTTTTCTTTGTATACTTTCTCATAAGATTTAACACCCAAGAATGTCTATAAATGTAAACTGTGATTTTCCTTGCCTTTGACATTATATCCTTGTGCAGAGGAAGGTCCCCAATATCCGTCAAAATGAGATCTAGACAATGTGCACCGCAAGAAGACCAAAACAACTTTTTCCTCTTTGCCATTAACAACTCCCCAGCTTTTACATAAGCCGATGCACTATCAGTTACAACCTGAACAACATTATCCTCACCAATCTCTTCTACCATTGAATCTAAAAGCTCAAAAAGATTATCCGCATTCTTACAAATACCTGAAGTATCAATACTTTTAAGAAACACACTTCCTCTAGGACTATTCACTAAAAAATTAGTGATAGAGCGATGTTTCCCATCAGTCCATCCATCAGACATAAGAGTACAACCCATCCTTCTCCACTCTGCTTTATAATTTTTCATCAACCCACCATTAATCAAATTTGTTTCTTTTTTCAAAAAAGAACATCTCACCTCATGATACGATGGAGGTTTCAATCCCTTACCAAACGATGCAACAGATTCTAACATTCTTACAAAATATGGATCCTTTACCAAATTAAAAGGAAGGGCATTAGCATAAAAACATCTACAAATATCCAAGCATACATCTTCCCTACCCTTTTTCTTCAACATAGTATTCAAAGTAATTGTGGTGGTTGGCTGTATTTTATCAGCAGTAGTACTACCCACACTGCCACTACTTTTCGAATCCACAAGACTCATATCTTTGCTAATTGCCCTATCATCCAATAATTGCTTAAAAAATTCAGTTACTTCCTCAGGGCAATGCTTACACGCTGCTACATCTTTGCGATTACTTGCCAAATGATTTTTCATTCTTGAAATGCCTCTCCAATAGACATTTGCACAATGAATGCATTTCAATTTCAACCTTGATCCTTCTACTTTGTCACAATGTTCCCATGTGGGATCATTAGCAAGTTTTTTAGTCATTTCTATATGAAAATTGGATGCAGGTGATGCCACTGTTGCACAAAATTAAAATTAATCAAGATTCAGAAATTTTTATACAAAAAAATTTATATACATTTGGCTTTGTAAATAAATTAATATCATTACATACTGCACAGGACCAACGATCAATGGAGACTGGGAAGAAGAAGAAAAAGGAGTACCTGGAGAAGGAAGAAGGCAGTGATCAACACCCACAGTCGGAGACAAGCAATCACCCACAGACGAAGACCGGCAATCACCCACAGTTGGAGACCACCCACAATCGATCACCACCCAGACTCGAAGACCACCCACAGTCGAAGACCACCCACCCAGTCGGAGACCAGTCGAACACAGTCGAAGACCACCCACAGTCGAAGACCACCCACCCAGTCGGAGACCAGTCGAACACAGTCGAAGACCACCCACAGTCGAAAACCACCCACCCAGTCGGAGACCAGTCGAACACAGTCGAAGACCACCCACAGTCGAAGACCACCCACCCAGTCGGAGACCAATCGAACACAGTCGAAGACCACCCACAGCGATCACCACCTACAAGTCGAAGACTTCCCACAGTCGATCATCACCCACCCACAGACGTCGGTCGATGGCTGAAGAGAAACGACAGACATCGGTCGATGGCTGAGAGAAACCAGACGTCGATGGCTGAAATGTCTGATATATGTGAGAAATGTGTGAATTTTTTTTTTGTAACCCTAACCACTGAAACGACGTCGTTTCAGTGGTTATAGGGAATTAAAAAAAAAAAATTCAACACACTTCAAACGACGTCGTTTTAAAAAAAAAAAAAAAAAAAAAAAAAAATTTGCACGTATCGTGCGTTTCGTACCGATACGTATCGTATCGTAAAAACGTATCGTGTATCGGACGATACAACGCAAAAACGATACATAACTACGATCCGTATCGTTTTAGGGCTGTATCGTAACGTATCGTACGATACGTATCGTGTATCGTACGATACTAACAACACTGGTTATAAATATTTCTGACAACACCTTTATGTGCCAGTGTCTAGGCGTATGCCTTGTGCTTCTACTCTCTCTTTCCTTTTTTTTTTTTTAATGTCTTTCTCCACTCACCAATGTGAGCAATGAGCATGTGTTTGGTAAACAGACATTCGCTTGTCTTTATCATGAAGTCATTCATTTGCAATGTCTGTTTTCCCCTTTTGCTTCTTAACTTACTGCCCTTCTGTCAATATTCGTATTTCGCCTTATGCTTTTGGCTTCACTGTGAGCTACTGTTGGTCCAGTTCTGCTATTTGCTTTAGTTCAGAACAGGAAATGTGTTTTCTGTTTGGAGCTTAGACTACATTCTATAGGTGTGTTAATGCTGATGCATTGTATGTCCTCTCACTCTTCAGCTACAGTTGCTTTTGTTTTTCAACGGTTTTAGCATAGAACAAAGTTGATTCATATTTTTTCCTCCACTAGTTTTTACCTTTTTCGTATCTATTTGGTTGAAGGATGGGCATAGGCTGAGCTACATGACTCTGAATAGGGTCAAAAACACGCCTCTGTATTCTGAGAAAGTATATTGACCTACTGCATGACTATTTAGCATCCTATGTATGACCTCACTGATTTTGTGAACTTTCAATGCAAGGTCAATCTCTAGTTCCAAAATATATATGAAACAATTCTAGCAAGTAAAAAAACAAAAGAAAATGGGGGACTGTTTATTTACACTTTTCACTCCTTGAGGTATGTTTTGTAAACTAGGTATAGGTTGATCCCACTGAATGAAAATTTTAGCTATGCCCCTGGATGGTTGGGCGTTGTTTTAAGGTTTTCCATTCCAGTCGTCATAGGCAAAGGCTGTCTGTCCTGCTTTAGAATGCCTTTATTGGCTAACATTTCAAAAAAGAGAAACAAAAAAGAATTTTTCTCAATTATGCATCTATTTGAATCTAATTGTTTCTTTGATAAACAGTTACATGGTTGTTTCTCTTTCCCATCTCAGGAAGCTGAAAAGCATCTTTCAGATATGGTTGTATCTAAAGCGCTGGTGGCAAAGATTGACAGGCCAATGGGTATAATCTGTTTCCAGAGTGCGAAGGACAGTAATGACATTTTAAACTCATGGGCTATGAATTTGGAGAAACTGCTTGACCTTGTGGAGAAGAGTTGTCACCAAATCCACAAGGAAATGATGGTTCACAAAGCTGCCTTGAAAGTTTGAAATGTTCATTTGGCCAAGTCTGCAGGTAGAATTTTACTATCTATCACTTCTATCCTATTGGCATAAATACATGAATTATGTGTTGAATAATGGGCTAGCTGTACGTTATTGTTGTTTACTTCATTTGTGGACCGCACATGTACATGAGGGCGGCCTCACTTTTTTGAACACATTAAGCAAATTTTTCTTTTCTTAAAAATTTAGTGAACTAAACTGATATCGTGTTCAGATGACAACTATTGCCTTGGTTAATCTTTTGCAGGTTGGCCTTTGTTTTCCTCAGTTTTGAGGGCCAAGAGTGGGAACCAAAATGGGGTCTCTTGTAGCAATGAAAGATATTATGCGTGGTGCTCTGCTTTTTCCCTCCTTTGGCTTTGTTTAAAATCTTACATTCACATGGTTTCTGCCTTCTGGCTTGTGTGATTTTTTTAGTACTTTTGTGATCCATTCTTTGTAATCAATAGATTTATACTTGTGCTGTGAACTAATCATGTCTATGTGCTTGTCTTTGGTTACACACACAACAATTATGTATGAATCAGGATAGGGATTATAATTTGATTTCACCTGTCCTCTTAAACCCTTGGTCTATGTGGATGTCTGTTTGAGGCTGATTGTGAATTTTAGCCCCATTTTTTTTTTATTTGGGGTCACAATCAAAATCTTTTAGGCTGAGAAACAGATTTTGCAAGCGATAGTGAATTTTTGGTGAAAGCAAGCCCCCGTCTCCATATCAAGCATTCCCTGTTTTTATTCTTTGCAAACTACATTGTATGTTATTTCTATTGGCTTTTTACTTTCCTGAATTTTTTTCAGTTCCTGATGATACTTTTGACTTGAGTTTTTTGCGCTCTTACATGTTCTATTGTATAATCACCGCATGTATTAGTCTAAATATTTGAAGTTAATTTTTTTTTTTTTTTGCCGATGTATTAAACCATCCACCGTGAAAAATAGATTGAATTTTTTTTACGCTCAATTCATATTAAATCAATTCAACACTATCATTTGCCACCACCTTTAGGTGAAAGTGCCGGGATTTGGGGTCAGAGTGACTTATGGATGCGAGAAGGTGGTTGAAGAAATTGAAATTGCGAAATAAGAACTGCACTCTAATGTTGTAAGTTTGTTAAACTGTACAATACAAATAAGATAAGAAAAATTAAAATAGTTGGGAGAACTATTTCGTTGAAATAAAATATTTAGGGTTTTATTTATAAATGTTGTGAATGATGTTTTTTATTTGGTCAAAATTTCAAGAAAATTTTAGTTTGATTGTTGAGAAAATATAAAATAGCTCTGTTTGGGAGAGTATCTCTTGTTTAAACCAAGCTGTGTGGTCTACTGGTACTTAATTTTCTGTTAAGGGTCTTGCTAGGGTTCTCCTAGGTTCAATTCATGGAAAGTAAATTATTGAGTTACTTCTATTAGTTTGGTGAGATTGGTATCTGGCTATGGTTCAAGTCGTGTTTAGGGGGCGCCGCGTTTTCCTAACCATGGTCGCTTTCTCAAAAGACACATCCTAACATAGATTTTAGATCTAATCACCCCCTCTTATACCCTTTCATCCAAGCAAAAAAAAAAAAAAGGCAAAATTCATTTTCACTACCTTTTGGTTTAACCCATTTGCACATCAACTATTCAAAAATGGCACATAACCCCTTGTGCTTGTTCTGTTAACTATTATAATAAAATGACTTTAATACCCATCAATTTATTTTTTAATTTAATAAATAATTATCCCAAAATTACTCCGGCAGCCAACCATCATCGCCGTCGACACTAAATATTGCAGGCCAAAGACCCCAACTCTGTCATTCACTGCGTCATCTCCATTAATGGCAGCCCATCCCCTACATCATACAAACTAGTGCAGTTTGACAATTCAAACTCAACAAAACTCAATTTATATCCCACCATGTCAATTTCACTTTTTTTAACCAAAAAATCAAACTAAAAATAGAATCAAACTGAAAATCGACATGGAAATAAAAACTTTGAATCAAAACAATAGGAAATAAAAATTGAAACAAAGATAGAAAACCAAAATTGTACGGCGGTCGGTGGAGACTACAGACAAAAAAAGTTTGATAGTGGTAGATCAATGACGGAAGACGTGATGGAGACTGGACAAAAGGTCGATGGTGGTGGTTGATCGGTGACAAATGACGTGGATAAGAGTCGTGGTTCTCTCTTGTCCTCATATGGAGATTGGTAATCATGGTTGTTACACTATTAGACTTGATCAGATGTGAGAGAGAGAGAGAGAGGCGTTGAGGGTTTTTTTTTTTTTTTTTTCTTTTTTAGTTGCATTTTTTATACCAAATTGCGTAACAAGTGCGTGATAGATACGAATCATTAAAATGGATGAAAAATTTAATGATACATTTTAATCCGACAACTACAAGAGGATTATGTCATTTTTAAACGCCTAAAATGATATGCAAATAGGTTAAACCACAAGGAGGAAAAGTGAAATTTGCCCAAAAGAGAAAAAAAACAGGTCTAATTCCCACACTTAATTGATTGGGCTTTTCTTGGTTGACTCCCCCAGGTGTAACTGACACTCTCGAGGCTTTCCTTGAATACCAAGTCGTAATCAATTGTTCTAGATTTTCTTGGTTCTTAATCGACATTCGCTAACATTGTGTGTTGTTTCTGGGTTGAGCTAAATGGCCAAAAGACAATTTTAGTAGCAGACCAGCTCAACTCAGTTTGCCTAACCTTAATGCTAATAACTCAGCAGAACGCTAAACTGAACTTAAAAGCCAATTTAGGAAACCACGTGAACTGATGACTGATTAAATACATGAACAAATGAACAATGCAATTCTGATCAAACTCTTTATCGAATTTTACTTACCAAAACAATGTGATCCACTGTACTTTCCAGGGGTAAAAAAAAACAATTGGGATTCACCTCCAAGAATCAAAATTTCAATATTGTGCAAAATTTCAATTTATACACACAAAAACATTTCAGAAAGTTTTCAAGACCATACAAGATTTTATCGCAAAATATTCTAAAATATTAACCAAAATGTTCCAAAAACTCAAAACATGAATATTTTAATTTTCATTATTATATATTAGGTTCCAATAAAAATAGGCCATTTCAATGAAAAATATTGATCCTTATCCACTGCATTGGCTTCATGTCACTGATTCAAAGATCACCAAATTTCATTTTCTCACATCTACTATTCACTAAAACCATCTGTGGAAATTATCATTCACACTGAAGATTAACAGGAATCAAGTCAATTCCAGTTCGTTCATTTTGAAAAACAAGTTACAACAGAATCCATGAACATGAACTAAATACAAAAACAAAGACACATTACTCAGGATTTATAACTTACACCTATACAATGAGTTAGAACTTGGAAGCTTAAGATTCACCATTGATCGTGTGATCATCACACTTTCTGAACCCATGGCCCTATGAACAATGGAAATGCCCTAGCTAACAATCCCATCATTAAAAAAGGCTTCACTGACGTACCAAATCATGCTCCTCCCCAGCATGCAAAGTAATTACCTTAGCCCAAGCAATACATCTCTCAGTTATCTGTAAGGAACTCTAACTTCCACAAGCCATGCACTCTTCACGATTTGTTAAAGAACATACCACCTGTGCCATTTTAGTATTATCATCATCATCCACCATCTTGGTCTTTTCCTGCATTTTAAACAAGAACAATTTTATATAAACAAGTTTTTTTGTTGGGCAGGTGGAGATAATAGCAATTGACAGCAATCAGTACCTTGAGCATGGTTGTGTCAACAGTGAACTTGATGGCATCGGCTGCAGCACGTGATCTTAGATAGTACATACCTGTTTTCAGACCCTTTTGTATCCAGACAAGAACAATGAATCAGAAAAGATAATCAGACCACATTACTAAAATTGTAACATCAGTAACTAATCATGTCCATGCACAAAGTAACAAGTGCAGCATATGATTCAAGGATGGTTTCAATTGAGAACCAAACAATGCAATGACCATTTCTCTTACTTTCAGTGGAAATGACACTCCAGAAACTTTCTGATCTTTCTCCAAGGAAAGGGAATTACTGATCAGTATTCTCTCTGATCCAGAAGGTCATTTTTGCATCAACAATAAATGCAGCCATGACAACTTTTCGCACTTAAAGAACAAACATTTTCCATGACCAAGGGCAGAACCAGACTATTTCTTGCGTGAAGGATTATAAGATTAACATCAATTTAAAAAAAATATTATTAATAATATTTTTTTATAATCACAATTACATAAAAAAAGATCAATTAGATAGCAACAAAACAATATGCGACATTTTTTATATAACATATTCCAATTAATTTTCATACTTAATAAATAAAAAAAATTAATAGGAATTTTTTTAAACAAAATTAAATCTATCAAAAGTCTTTCAAATAAAATTAGATATAGTGGCAGTTGAATCTATCATAATTCATAACCAAATTATTTAATTTCAATTAATCGAAACAATTGGACACAAACTAAAATAGGTAAATTTCAAATGAAATAACCCAATTAAATATAACAAAATTCAAATAATTTCAGTTCCACAAATTAAAATATCCTAGAAAACAAGACTGACTGGATCTATAATTTATCAATGCATATGATTGCAACACCATATCAATAAACCTATTTTGCAAAACCAAACTGTTTTACATCTCTCATCTCCAATAATTTTAAATAATATTTCAAATAAATTGATATAAAAATTGATGAAATCACCATTTGTTCAATTTAGACCCAAATAGTGAAATTTGATGGTCTATTGTGAAGAAAAAGTTAAATAAGTAAGAATAATAAAAATCCTAACTACAGTGCTAAAAAATAAAAAAAAATTACAAATCTATTCATTTATGCCTTTATGGGTTGCTCTCATGGCTATATTATAATAGAATGAATAATGCTAAAGAAAAAATAGACGAACAGCTAAAAAGAAAAAGTAGAAATCTTTTTTTTTAACCTAACTTTACAATGTATAAAATAACACCCTAGATTTTATCAAAATTTCAAAACTTACCTTAAGCCTTTTAAAATACTCAGTGGGGGCAATATCTTTAAATTTTAAATATTCTACCTACACCCCAAAAGTTTTCAAATTTGCAGTGGAGGCAGCTACCCACTGCTCCCATTGTAAATCCACCCCAGTCCATGACCGAGCAATACTGTCATATCATGTCATGGAGCCTCCTTTAAACAAAGGAGAGAACATAAGATTCTCCAATATTAAGTAGGGAAGATGATTAGACTTCCTCCAATCAAATTCTTGGACTATCTACCAATAATTGAAGATAATTTATACCTTAGACCATGCATGGAAGTGCAGGGAAGTAAGTTTTCCAAAATTGGGTTGGTCCATATGGATATTCAGGCTTTGGCTCTGGTCTATGTAGCATCCGCGATCAGCAGCCATATCAACCAGCATCCTTTGCTTGATCTCCCAAACAGTCCTGATCACATTAATATATATTAGCATGGGGCAGAAGGAACTTGATGTGTTTTATAAGAAAAAATAGCCAGCCCTAATTAATCAAGTCCTTACTTGTAAATTTCTTTTAGTTCATCAGGAATTTCTGGGATTTTCTGAACAGAACCATCCTCATATATTATCCTGTTCTTAAGAGCAGGGGACCAAAGGCCCATCTCAGTTAAGTCGTGAAGAAGATGCTTGTTCACGACAACAAATTCACCACTGAAAACAATTAAAAGAATCAGATGGCAGCAAGGGTAAGTCGTCTTAATAGAAGGTAATAGAACAAGGCATCAAAGCAGACCTTAGGACTCTGCGACTGTAGATATTTGAAGTATATGGCTCAAAGCACTCATTATTTCCAAGAATTTGGCTAGTCGAAGCAGTGGGCATGGGTGCTACAAGAAGTGAGTTTCTTACTCCATTCGTAGCTATCATTCCCCGAAGAGCATCCCAGTCCCACCGATTTGAAGGTGTTACTCCCCACATGTCTGGTTGAGTGATCCCCTGTCGAGTACAATGGCCACTTGAGCATATAAGCCAATCTATCAACTTAGTACTTAGAAATTCTCCAGTAACAAATATACGGAGGTTAGTTGTTTATTAAATGTTGTAAGATGTATGTATTATAATTGTGATAAAGGAATGACAAACTGTTTTAAGGATTTCCTACTGACTTGGAATAATCAGATAATCCAAGAACTTAAGGCATCTGAATGGAGCCATCAAACAGTCTTAAAAATTAATCAGTAGCATCACAAGAGCAGCAACAATGACAGGCAAATAGTAAAACATTTCTACATATAATGAGGTATGCAGTAAATGACCAGACAATAAGGCAACATATAAAGACATTTGTTATATCGTAAATATGTACTAAATAACCAAACAGCAAGGCATCCATCTGTCAAAAAGATACCTTGCTCATAGGGCTTCCAACATAAGTCTCATAGGGCCCTTCTTTGGCAGCTAATTCAGATGAAGCCTTTAGAGCCTGGTAGTATATGGTCTCAAATATGTCTTTGTTCAGCTGTTGAGCCTGCAATTTGAGACCAAATAAGAAAACCCAAACAATCCTATTTAGTGCTGCCACAAAGCAAACATTGGAAAATAGTGCTTACCTCTTCTGAATCAAATGGCATGCCAAGCAATATAAAAGTGTCAGCAAGACCCTGAACCCCAATACCAATAGGCCTGTGTCTCATATTTGAACGTTTTGCAGTTTCAACTGGGTAGTAATTAACATCAATTATTTTGTTTAGATTTGTAGTAACTATTGCAGTAACCTGTTCCAACAGTACATAGAAAACCAGATATGAGACCAAATCTCAACATGGTAGCTTTGTTTGCATATAGCTAGGAATTAATGTCAAATGAGAGGCATTATAGGCAGTTGCATAGATAGAACAAATCAAACCTCTGCTAGTTTGTCAAAATCAAAATATCGATTCTTAGAACCTCTGCTACCAACAAGCTTAGATGGTTGTGATTCCATGGGAACACCCTGCAATAGTAGGAAAATGCATAATGGAAAACGAGCAAAATCCAAGAAAAGATCAATGTTATCAAAGATGAACTCGTTAAGAACTGACCTTCTCTCTAACATATCGTGGTAGAGCAATTGATGCCAGATTACATACAGCAGTTTCCGTTGGACTCGAGTACTCAATGATCTCAGTACACAAATTTGAAGACTTGATGGTTCCCAGGTTCTGCTGGTTGCTCTTTCTATTGCAAGTGTCCTTTAAAAATAGCAAGAAAATAAGTTAAGCGTAGGTAAAGTAATGTAATGACAACAAGCAACTAGTAATAACAATAACTGTTAGTTTGTAATTTTTGTAGATAACCTTAAATAGCATATAAGGGGTCCCGGTCTCTATTTGAGCCTTCAAAATCTCAAACCAGATGTTCTGTGCCTGAACAACTTTCTTTGCCTTACCCTGAACTCATAAAAGGATATCAGTAGAAATCAAATGCCAATAAGAGCCCACGAACTTCACATTCAGAGGATGCAGACAATAAACCAGGATAGGACAGAAGGGTTTACCTCTCTTTCATATTTGGTGTATAGTTTCTCAAATTCCTCACCCCAACAATCAGCCAAACCTGGAGCCTCATTTGGACAAAACAACGACCAGTGCCCATTGCTTTGGACTCTTTCCATAAAGAGATCAGGTACCCAAAGAGCATAAAATAGATCCCGGGCACGGTGCTCCTCCTACAGGAATGGCAATTCCCACTATGATATTAGTTGCAATAGAAAACTCTGAAATGGTAAAAGCAATTATCTAATATTGTCCGCATAACTTTAAATATAAAAAAAATTGCTCAGGGCATCAATCATAAAGCTACTATGGAAAAATAATTGGAACCCCTTATAACATCACATCAATTACTACCAAATGAAACTGCTATACCTTCCCATGGTTTTTCCTTAAATCCAGAAATTCAAAAATATCAGCATGCCATGGCTCTAGATATACAGCAAAAGCACCTACATGCCACAAATCACTATTTCAAAACAAACAACCATGATATTAAACACTGCAAAGCACAACACGACATGATGATGTATACCTTTCCTCTTGCCACCCCCTTGATCAACATAACGTGCAGTGTCATTGAACACTCGCAGCATTGGAACAATGCCATTGGATGCCCCATTTGTTCCACGGATATAGCTACTAGTAGCACGGATGTTATGAACAGAGACACCAATTCCTCCAGCTGATTTGCTGATAACAGCACACTCCTTCAAAGTATCATATATTCCTTCGATGCTATCTTCTTTCATGCACACTAGGAAGCAGCTGCTTAACTGCCATTTAATAACAGAACATGTGGGTGATAAAAGCAATGAGTACATCAGGACTACCAGGGAAAGCAGGAAATCCTTATTGGTAGAAACAGAATATACAAAATTATAACAAGTAAAACTTGAAAGAAAAGAGTGGTGTTCACACATCTGGTGAAAACTTATTTTTACCATATGAAGTTTGGTAAATTTTTGTGCAAGAACAATACATACTTGGGGCCTTGGCGTTCCTGCATTGAAAAGTGTAGGAGATGCATGAGTGAACCATCGTTGAGACAACAAATGATATGTCCTAATAACTGACTCAATGTCCTCTTTGTGGATCCCAACTGCAACTCTCATCAACATGTGTTGTGGCCTTTCCACTACCTTTCCCTGGACCTTCAAAAGGTACGATCTCTCAAGGGTTTTGAAACCGAAGTAATCATAGTCAAAGTCCCGATCATAAATTATCTCACTGTCCAAACAAGCCGCATTCTGAAACAAACAAAAACAACACAATTGATATGCTATTCATAAGATAGACTCAAGTCATTTTCAATTGTGTAAGATTAGAGACATCAATTCAAATACAGTTGGAAAATAACAAATAATTATGACTACCAATGAAGCAAATAAGGTTAGAGGCTCTCAGTATTGTCCATGATCCCATCAAGTCAACCTTGTGAACAATTTACCAAAAAGATCCAATGCCAAAAGCAATTCACAAATGCCCAATGTTAGTGTCCAGACAGATTCTTATCTGCTAAGTGTGTTGGCAAAATCAGAATTTGTCAAACAACATGATATAGAGCCAGTACAAACTGCTCATTGTTTCTAAGATCAACAGTTATGTCATGCAAAAAATGGTCATTGCTTTGAATATTAACTTAATATGGTCATACATTTTAAGTTGTAACTTGATCACGAGCGAATCTGTTGATGTTGCATCCATTAAGTATGGAAAGTGTCAAACATAGGGAACTACCCAGGGAAGAGTTAGAAAATGGAACAAGGAGAAGCAAGAACCATTTAAATGGAGGAATCAATTGTATTTCATCCTTTATCGTGCTTCCTCAATGCTAACATAACTTATAACTTATATCATGTTTAACTAGTTTGGCATAAACAAGATCAAGAGGAACTCCTATGTTCATTTAATTACAGATTAACTGATGCTAAAATGTAAATTATATGCTTTTAATCGTAAAAATACCTTCATAATAATTTCATAAACGTCATCAGCAATCAGAGGTGCCTTCTGCCCAGATCTCTCACTGATATGGTAGTACATGTCTTTGATCCTGCAGCAACCATAGACCAAGACCAGATTCTAGCTTTTTTCAAGACAAAATAAAAAACAAAAATCCAAAATAACTAACGATTTGAAAAAACTTACGTCTCAGAAAATGATTTTTTAGTGTTCTTGTGCAGATTTGAAACCACAATCCTTGCAGCCAACTGTGCGCCACAAATGTTAAGAATTAAAAGGAAAATAAAAGCGTATTCTCCAATTTTCAAATCCATCAAAAGAAATACAGCATACAGAATTACATATGAACTTCAAAACCCAAGTTACAATAATCAATCAAAACGTACATAGTCCACACGTGGACCCAATATCAAAAAATCTGACTTCGCAGACATAGGTATACATAGGAAACCCAAAACCAAACAAGGACAATTTAACCAATGAATACCTATAAAATTAACGAAACTGAAATTAAAAAAACACAAACCCATAAGCAAAAAGCAACAAAAATGACATGAACAAACACAAATTCAGTCAAAACAATAGCAAACAAACCCAGATCCACAAATCACTATAACTCACGAAAAGAAATCAAACCCAGAAGCGCAAATCAACAATAAGAGTGAAAGTACTCACACAAGCATAGTCAGGATGATTAGCGGTCATCGCAGCGGCGGTCTCAGCGGCCAATTCATCCAGCTGGCTAGTGGTGACGCCCTTGTAGACACCAGCACAAACCTTCTGGGACACAAGCACTGGATCACAATGCTCGATGCTGAGCCCATAACTCAGCTTCTTCAGTCTCGCCGTGATCTTGTCAAAGTGGACTGCTTCTTGACGCCCATCTCTCTTCACCACGTACATCTTCAAGTAGGATGAGACGAGAATTTGAGTGATTTTTCACAGAGGACTTCTATCAAACAGGTTTGAGGCACAAAACGTAGTGCGAAGATAAGAGGTTATATAGAAGCATAGAGGGACAGAGCGAAAGGGTTTGAAATTTGTAATTAGGATATGTTTCCCTCTGGTTTTTGAAGTTTTCCCTCCAATTGGTAATGAGGTTGGTGGCGCGTTATTAGGGGGTGGAGCTGGGTGTGGACCACTTTGTTACATTTCTACAATGAAAATAGAAGAGCTTGATGGAGTATTTATTGAGGGACAGCAATGCCGATCCAAGTGGCTATGAACCAATTTTTTTTCACAATAGTAAGGAGTGTTCGGGTCACTTAATTAATTTTTGGGTTAATTGTAAGTTGTACCTTGAAAGATAGTGAGAATTTTAATTTGTATCCCCAAAGATCAAAAATTTTAATTTGTACCCTTAAAATAGAAATTTGTATCAATGTGCACCCCCAAAGATAAAAATTTTAATTTGCATCCTCAAAGATAGAAATTTGTATCAATATACACCTAAAACTAAATTGATAAATTATACCTAGATTCCCTTATGCTTGTCATTTAATCATTTAGACCCCTTCACATTTAGAATATTACTCTTACATCTTATGACGTTTGTGCACGTGTAATATATAATCCCTTTTCATTGATATCTGTTAATATAACAGTTAAAAAATATGATTTTATCCTAATAAAAAATTATAATTTCATATTACTTTTTATTTTGTGGGTTCGATATACTCTAAAGGTCAAAATCAAGTTTACCATTGGACATTATAATTTTTTATTAGGATAAAATTATATTTTTAACGATTATATTAACAAATATCAATAAAATGAGGTTACGTGTTACACGTGTACAAACGTTATGAGATGTAGGAGTAATATTTTAAATGTGAAGAGATCCAAATAATTAAATGACAAACATGAGAGAATCTAGGTATAATTTATCAATTTAGTTTTAGGTGTACATTGATACAAAATTCTATCTTTGAGAATGCAAATTGAGATTTTTGTCTTTGGGGGTGCACATTGATACAAAATTCTATCTTTGAGGATACAAATTGAGATTTTTGATCTTTGATAGTACAAATTAAAATTCTAACTATCTTTCAGGGTGCAACTTACAATTAACCCTTAATTTTCTCTTTAGTTTAGTCAAAAATAGGTTATTTACAATATTATGGTATTTATGTATTATTTATGGTCTAATTCTAAAGAGTTGCTAATATTCGAATTTAGGACATTTAGATCAAAAGTTTGTTCATGTTATTATTTAAGTTACTCTTCTTTGGGTTCACCATTTTTTTTATTAAATATATATTTTTTTAATTTGGTGGTAACAATTGCTTGTGAAAATAATATAATAAAGTAGAATAAAAAATTATAAAAAGTCTACAAAGTGTTTGCTGTGGTAAGTGAAAAGTAGAAGATATAATTTTTTGGTATTATAGGTAGGACTATTTCTTGATGTGGTTTGCTTTTAATTGGGTTTGTGTGGGAGGACCACAAGTTCTTGGACCTCGATGCATTATGTATCCATTCAAATTTCCACTGTGAGTAGGTGATCAATGTTTGCCAAAGTAAAAGTTGTGATGAAAAACTACTATTATCACTTTTTTTATAGCAACTAAAAAATGTTAACACTACTCCCAAAAGCAATGAAGCAAAAGAACAAATGAGTAGAGGGAATGACGGGATGTGACATGTTAGACCAGTCAAGGATGGACACGTAGCTCTTGTGTCAGCACACAAGTGGCGTCACTCAACTAGAGGTGATGTCATTCGAAGGAGAAGTAATAGTGAAAGGACGAAAGAGTTCCCTTGGGGTGAAGTCACTTGGGGTAATGTGATGTCACCTGGGGGAGAAGATGTAATAATGATGAGAGTTCCCATGGGGGTGATGTCTTTCGGTTGGATTTGACGTCACTCGGGGAGCTGTGTTCGCTAGGAATGTATTAGGGATATCCACTTAGTTAGGAATAAACGAGAAAAACGATTTACAAGGATCCGTACTCAACTGTCAACAAGCGTGGGTCCATTGCTCCACGTTGTCAGATCAAGCATGATGACAAACTGTAGTCAATAATGGGAAAGGTCCTTGAAACTATGATAGCTCGCAATTAATGCCCCTCATGAACATATGACTAAGTATTTAATACTCGGAAGAGAAAGGTATGAAGTATTTACTCATCAGG